CCCAAAACCCCAAAACCCCAAAACCCCAAAACCCCAAAACCCCAAAACCCCATCTCACCAAAAATAACGATATTTAAGTTCGATCAAAATTCAAAAATTCAAATTTAAATTAAAAGTATCAAATACTTCAAAAAAGATGAAAACCAAAATTCTCGTACTTTCACTCCTCTTTGGATGCTTATCTGCTCTTAAAGTCAAATCCAACTCGTTGATTCTTGCCCAAGGTGACGATTAAGGAACATTCCCTGCCAATCTCGATATCGGTGATACAAAGGTTGCCTTTTATCAGCATGGCAAGTTCGGAGGAGCTCAAATGATTCTTGATGCTTCATCTACAAGAACTTACGCTCTCAAAGGCAGTCAAAAAGTTGGAAGCACTGAGACTCTCAATTGGTGGGATAATGCTATCTCTTCCATTAAAGTTGGTAAAAAGGCAATGGTCAAGCTTTGTAGATATCAAAACTGCGAAGACGAGAAGAAAAAGCCAGAGAATGCTGTTATTCTTGTTGGACCCTACGCCACAAAATTCATGGGATGGGCCTCAGATTATGCTAGCACTATTGTAGTCTCCCCTTACGATGAAGCTAAATCTCCAGTAGTCTCTGTTTTCGGAGGAGATGAATTCAATTGCGATACTGCAACTGTACTCAAACCAGGAAATTACAATTCCAGAGATTTGAAGCTAAACAACATTGATCCAGAAGAAATCAGAGGTTTCAGAGTTCCACAAGGCTTAGTCCTCGAGATCTACGATCAAGATTATCAGGCTGGCTAATCTGGATTCATTCAAGGAGCTTCTACTCCCTCAAGTCAAGTTGATTTATATACTCAAAAGAATAGCAATTAACCAGATTAAAGCTAAGCTAACCTAGGAAAGTTCTACAGGAAAGTTAAGAGTGTCAAAATCGGCAGAGCTGATGAAATTTATCCCATCACTGCTAGATGGGTACCCCTTGATTCTTCATGGGGTAACGCCTTGAAAGTATCAGTTTTGCAAGGCTTGCAACTTGATACAACCAAAGTCTCATCAACAACCTTCTCAGCTTCTCTCTCCTTAGGTTATAAATACACCAAAGGTGATCCAGTAACAGGTAGCCATGAAGTTTCTGTTTCTGCTACAGCTGGCTTTGAACTTTAAAATAGTATTTCAAATTCAATTCAGAAAGCAACTCAAGTTACAGCTGAGAAAAATTGTGCTGCCAAGGGTGATGTGAAAGTTACAATGTGGCAATTCCAACTTTAAGCTGAAGGGGCTCTCTATGGTGCTGAAAATTATATATGCAGATACGGTGATAATGCTAGTGTAGCTCCATAATGTATTTCATTTATTAAATGTGCAGACTCAGAATGTACAAAATGTAAATGAGGTCAAATTTGACTCAGTAATTAATCAGTATGTGTTCATTAAGTTGAATATTTTAAAAATAACAATTCAAACCATATATCAATTATTCTACTTTTACTGTTAAGAATTCCCTTATTCTTGCATTATGGGGTTTTGGGGTTTTGGGGTTTTGGGG